AGCTAATAGAAGAAAGAGTAGTTCAAAAACAAGAAGTCACCTAGGTCAGATATTGCCGAGAAGCCAGGTAAGATGGTGACTAAGCAGTGACTGCTTTTAATACTTTCTGTGAAGAAGTAACAAAAAACAGATTTTGGAACACTGAAGGTGAAGAAATGGAGATAGTGAGTGAAGACAGCTGTTTTGAAGAAGTTTGCTATACAGGAAAGCAAAAAAAGTGGGACCATAGCTAGTGAGAGAAGTGAAATTAAGGAAGTGCTGTTTTAAAATAAACAAAAAAGATATAATTACAGAGCATGCTTATGAGTAATGGAAATGGTCTGGTGGGAAGGGAGCAGGAGGGAATAACTGAAGGAGTGCAGTTCTTAAGCCGGTGAGGGGAAATAAGATAGAGTTGGGCATGGAGGGAATGGCTGTTTGATAGGATGTCTTAACTTCCATTGTAATTGGAGGGAAGACGGAGAAGATGAAATGGTTGCAGCGAGTTTTATAAATTTGATGGTGGAACAGTGAGTAGCCTCTCCTCAAATGTTTCTGGATTTCCAATGATATATGAAGTGAAAATGGAAGGGAAGGGGATTTGAGAACAGAGAAGACAAGAAATATCATCTTGGAAAGTGAACAGTCAAGTTCCTAAAGAAACATAGCAGAATTGTGCACTAAAGAGGGTTTATTCAAGATTTATGGTAATAAATATAATATGTAACATTCAACCAATTCTATAATTTTTTCCAGCCACTTTCAGTCGTTCCCAGTGCATACAAGACACATATAGCTGGATTCATCCAAGGTTGTACTTTTTTTGTGAGATAAATACAATGATTGAAGACTGGAGGAGAGGAAGGAAATTAAGTGCTTTAGCAAAGGAATGAAAAATCATGAAATGTAAGCTGATTAAGGAGGGGATTAAAAGCAAGAGGAATGCACATGGGGATTATGAAAGGTTAGAAAAGGGATATTATTCATTTATTTGGTTTACTCATTCACTATAACAGTTGAGCTCCAGCTATGTGCCAAACATTGTTCTAGGCCCTGCAGATATATTCTTGAGCAAGACTGATGTTCTCACAGAGTAGGATGAGATGAACAATAAAGAATTAAAACCAATAAATATTCTGGAGGGCTGTTAAGAAATATTCAAAAAAGATAGGGAGATAGCATCAAGTAGGAGGGGAGAGCAATGATGATTTAAATAAAGTGTTCCAGGAGGGAATCCTCTCTAGTAAAACTGAACAAAGACCTGGATTAAGCAAGAGAACAAACCTGTAAATGACTAGGAGTGTGCTAGTGTGCTAGTCTGAGGAAACAGTGACTGTTTTTCTATCTTTTAATGTCATTAGTAATTGTAAGGCCAACCGTGCCATGGCAAACAAGATATTTTCTCCTTCCCAGTTGTATTTTTAACTGGTGTTTTCATGATACCGAAATGACACAGTGAGTTTAAGCAATTGGTTGTTGCACAAAAGTCTTTAGATTAAGCAATCAGTTCAGTCAAGTCTCATTTAAGTAGACAAGATGTTTAAATGTGAATACACTCTATATATTATATCCACATCTAATTTGTTTATCATTCCATTCTCCAATGACCAATATTGGAATGCATTATAGGACTCAGTTAATATTTAAGTCTATTTTCATGCTCATAAGTAGTTTAACAAATAGTTTTAACACAAAACACTCCCCTTTCAAACTTCTTCAAAGTTCTTCTAAGGAAAGAGTTCGAACACAAACCCAAAGCCTCTTTCCTTTGCCCTGGGACTGACTTTAAATGGCTTTTTAAAAATTTAGATAATTCCCATACCATAATATGTTCACAAAGTTGTACAACCATTATCATTACCTAATTCTAGAACATTTTTATCACCCTAAGAAGAAACTCCATAGAGACTGGAGCCATCAGGAGTCACTGCCCATTCCCCAGTGCTCCCAGCCCCTGGCAACCACTAATCTACTCTCTGTTCCTATTTGCCTATTCTGGAGATTTCATATAAGTGGAATTACACAAAGTGTGCCCATTTGTGTTTGATTTCTTTCACTTAGCATGATGTTTTCAAGGTTAATCTATGTGTTTAGCAAGTATTAGTATTTCATTCCTTTTTATAGCTGAATATTATTCCATCATATCGATATACTATATTTTTTTAATCCATTCATCAGTTGATGGACATTTGGGTTTTCATATTTGCTTATTATGAATAATGCTGCTATGAGCATTCACATAAAAGTTTTCATGTGAACATGTTTGTCATTCTCTTAAGTATATATCTACATGTGTAAATGGCTTTTTAAAAGCACAACTTTAAAAAAGTTTTTTCTTAAAAATATTTCTCACTTAGGTCCATAATATTCTTTCTGTTGTAAAAGAATACATAAAGTTACTACCAGTTACTTTTTAAGTTACCAGTTGAATTATTTAATTTTTCTCCAGAAATCTGAATAATATTGTCCTTACAAGAAATGTTCCCTATACCTTGTGACTCTTGAGCCGCCTGGCTCACTGCCCACTGAGTGGGTGCATGCCAGTATTTCTGCAGCATTCTGGTGGGGCATTGGGAATGCAACTAAGAACAGGTGATGGTTTACCTTTTTGTCAATAAATATTGCCTCTTCCTGGAAGGATCATAGAATCTTGAAATTTAAGAACTAGACAGAATTCTTGAAGCTTCCCTAATCTCATTCCTTTGTTTTATAGATGTTTGAACTAAGGGAGAAGTCCAAGAGGTAAAAATGCTTGCCCAAGTTCTTACAGCCAGTTGGAGAACTAGGATGAGAAGCAAGATCTCTTCTGACTCCTTGTTCAGTGCTCTGACTACTAAACTTACTTTGTCTCTGTTGTCTGAAAGTCATAAAACAAAAAATAAATATAATTCATGTACGTGACATTTTCAGATAAAAGTTTACAGAAAATGCTTTCAGAGTGTTCTAGGGAAAAGCTATCAGCCTTATACTCATTAATTCACAGGGACAGGGAAGGAAACTAGGTGTATTAAGGAAATATTATAACTTTTAGTTTGTGCGTAAGAAAGAAAGAATTATAGGCATTCATGAACACTGTTATAAACAAAGATCAGCTATTCCTATTAACTTCTCTTAAGAGTCAGCTTTTTTCCTTCTCATTACATTCTAACATTTACGTACCAGTAGTTTAAAAAGAAGGGTATAAGGATTAAGCATGATTATATTATCCAAGTGTAGTCAAACTGCCCAATGGATTATGCAGTTAATCACTTTGATCTTCTAAATGTCATGTTGTATATAGTTTATCCCTCTCACAGTGAGTCAGAAGTGGGAATGGGTTCATTCACTATTTCCAGTAAGTGGCTTACCACCAACAGGTGTTGTGACTGGTGGGAAAGGGTAGGACTGGAATGCAGTTATTTGGCAACCTCAGAAATGTACCCTTGGGTCCTTACATAGGGCTGTACGTGAGGCCACAGGCAGCTGAGAGTGTTGGCAGCACCACAGCTACCCTCCAGCTTAGAACAGGCTCTTGGATTCCCTCTGAGTCTGGGAATATTGTTCCCTAGCACAAAGCTGAGAACAGGTGCTATGTATAGCCCTGTGGTCCAGGCATGAATCTCAACTCCACCACTATCTGTATGATCCTAGGCACATCACCTCAGAATCCAAGTCCCTCATCTGTAAAATTAGGGGTCAGGGGAGTAGACCAATTTTTGATCTTTAAAACTTGTTTTGGCTTTAAAATGCTGTGGCTTTACACCCTAATGATTTAACATGTCAAATATGTTGGATGAGAAGTCATATATAAAGGTAATCAAAACTCAGGCCTTAGAGTTATATAGAAACATCTTTGAGTCCTTTGTGATATTGGACAAGTTACTTAATTTCTGTAAGCTTTCATTGTTAAAAGGAGAACGATGCTAATAGTACCTAATTCTTAGGGCTACTGGGTGGGGAGGAAATGGCATTATGAATGCAGAGTCTTTAGAACAGTGCCTAACACTTCCTATGATTCACTAAATATCTACTAGCAGTATTTTTCTCTTCTTTAGGAACATTTTATCCTAATAATATACCCTTCCCTTTAGTAAGAAATATAATTCCAGCAAATTTTAGTAATGTTAAAAGGTATGTAGACTACAATTTTTTAAAAAGGTTATAGTTAATTATTAAGTTAACTGGAAGAAAAGACCGATAATTTAGATGATTGAATGGTAGTCATGATGGAGGAATGGGATGTAGAGGTGAAGGTTATGGAGCAAGTGAAAGAAATTTTGTTTTCTCCTTCTCTTTATTGTTGTCTGTAATCTTCCTCATATATTTTTGCTCTCTCAACTTGGAGATAGATTCATCCATGGAAAACCTATCATGGATGACAACAACATCATTATTTGTTATTGTAAAAATAAAAAGTAAATATATCCAATTCTATGTAAGCTGCTTCCTTGTAATTTCTGCTATTATTTTTGCAAGTAATATTTTGGTGTGAACCTTATAACAAAAGCTTCATAATTTTTGAAACAAATACTCAGATATTCTCCTCAGGATGTTGGTATGAAAATATCACTATTTAATAGTCGTTTGCTGAACTATCTGAAAGAATTTGCTTAACATAAAATATTTACAGAATCAGAACCCATTTGTAAAATACTGTGGAGAAAGTTGTCAACTCTGTGTGTAGTGGTTGATATCTTAGAGAATTAACTATCCAGTTGTCCAAAGAAGTAAGCAAGCTATCTGTGGATGTGTAAGTGACATGATAGCGTAGATGAGATTTTTAATGGTCATCTCTGAATATATATGTCTTGTATGTCCCGCACCTACTCTATCACTATCTTATCTTACTTCACTGTTGCATGTAAAAAATAAGAAAGGAAATGTTTTGACTCTTTACTGCATTCTCATTAATTTCTGGTATGAACAACTCAATCCAGAAATGTTTTTTGTCTCCCTGAAAAATTTACTTTTCACTATATTGTAATTTCTGACTAGGGTAATATTCTTTAGTCTCTAATGTTTCTTTTATACTTGTTTTATAGGAGGCCAGCTGTAAGAACTCCTTACCCATCCTTCTAACAAAAGACGTAGAAAGAGATGTGCAAAAAACATCTCCAAAAACCAAGGTAAGTTACGTCTGCTCTTTAGGCTTCCTCATGAAATGCTTAGCAAGGCTCTTTATGTTCTCATGTTTCCATGTTCTTTTGCTTGCATTTCCCTCAGCCTTTTTTTTTTTCTTTTTTGGACCTGATGGTATGAAAAGCACTTTTTATTTAGTACATTTAATACAAGGTTATATTCTTCCAAAATTTGTCAAGATACTCCTATTATTTAACAGAAAGTGTTGTTTTTTTGATAGTGGTCTTACTTCTGCTCCATCAGAATTATTTCCATCCTACAGCAAAGGTAATAGTTAAGTGTACTAAATCTTTTCTAGGTTACTTTGAGAGGTGAAAAAAAATGTACAACAATAATTTTTTTAAATAGAAATCACTTTATTGATGTTTCATAATTATAAAATATAATTTTTATTTAAAATTTATTATTAAATAATTTATAATTGTTTAAAATATATTTTCAAAATCATAAAAATAACACATAATCAATGGAAAGTATGTGTCAATTTTAATAAGAAATAATAAGAGCTATCATACATATGACAGAATAAAGGGTCTAGTGTATAAAATTTTGTTTTCCTTATTAAGAAAAATCCAAAGTGCACATAATTGTTTTGCCAGTATAAAGAAAAACTCCTTTATCATGAGAATTTTTTCATTTGTCCAACCAGAAAAGTGACTGCATTTGTTTTAGAGCCCCTTTTCCTAATCTTTAATCCTCTTTTTTTTTTTACTGAGTAAATTTACTGAGTAAATATAATATTCCTAACTGAGTAAATATAATATTCCTAACGCCACTGTGACATTTATAGAGCTAATTTTTTTTCAGTTCTATGACAAATGTTCTTCAGACTTCCTTGAGTCCATTATAAGCAAAGTTTAAAAGAATTCTAGTCCCTAATTTCAATCTCCAGTTACAATAAAAATAACTGTGGTTTTATTTTTAAAAGCAAATCAAGGGTAGTATTGAGCCATTACTTATTGTCTTCTTAATGGTAAGAGTCTTTTTATTTTAAAAAGAAAAACATTTTTCTTTATAAAACTTATTCTACCTTGATTTTTTCCTAGTTATTTAAACTATCATGCTTTCCTTTCCAGATTCACACTATTTTTTTGTATCTTTTTCAATGAAATATTTGTGTAAACTTACATATAATTAATTAAAATGTGTAATAAATAAATTTCAGTGTCAAAAATATATTCATCAAACAAATGCATTGGGAAAATGTAGAATTTGAAGAAAATTTTAGGTAACATTTGCTTTTTAACTCCATATGTATTTGTATAACTACTTTTAAGTAAAGAGACCCTAGATAAATCACTTCCTAAATAAAAGATAATCTTGAAGCCTGTCATAAAAATTGTTTGAAGGGATTTATTACTCTTATGAAATTAATGCCATTTGGAATATTTCAGGCATATACAGAATCAATAATTAGTATGCATTAATATTCTCTATCAGCCTTACTATATGGTTCATGACCAAACAAATTCAGTAGAGAAATTACTTCATTGGTTAAGCCTTGGTTTGTAACTTTAGCTTCTTTGTGGCCTTACATGAGCAAATTTAAGTTTACTTGAGCAAACTACTTTCTGCTTAGTTTAGGGGTGATTAAACTCTTTGTAATTTCAAACCCCAGAAATGAGACAAACACAGAGCATGTGAGCTATAAGAGATTATAAGGCACTAACTCTTTCACCTAGATTTGTTCTTGAGATTTGTTTTTCTTTAGTTGATCTTTGAAAGCTAAAGCTGAGAACACCTTTAAAATACAATTGGTGTGTCCTTTCTAGAGCAACTTAGAGAACTATGAGAATGATGTGTATCCTTGGTATTAATGTAACTCCATTTGGCCTCCATAGCTGTCTTTCTCAGACATCTCCAGTTACAGCAGTATTTGCCTTGGACAGCTAAATATTTCTGGTCCCTACATGGCTATAAATATAAAATGGTAATCCAGAAATGGCATATATCCATTGGCTCTGGAGATGTATTTCTAGTCTAAGCCAACTGTCCCCATGTATGTTCCCTCTGCCAGCTGTTGTCTCTGCTCTTAGGCAATGAGGATTATATTTCTCTTCCTTAGGTAGGAATGCCTCTTCTTGACTTGAGTCCAAGCTGAAAAAATGATAACCTCCATTACACAGTGCCATGACACTTCCTGGATGAGCAATGATCAGCAGCTCTGCTAGCTCAAGGATATAGCTATGTATCCTTGCACGCCCCTACTATATATAGACTACATATGCAAACAAATGATTGGAATAGATGATACTGAAGAGAACATCAAATACATTTTTAAAGAAGTGTAGAACATAGACACCGTTCCTTGAACCTAGTACAATCATGACAAGGAGAGGAGACAAAGTCTTTTTTCTACCAAATACAGGTACTCTGACTCTAAATAAGCCTTATAATCCATATTCATTGTCCTGAAGAGAATCTAGGGAACTAAGGAAAGAACACTATCTTTATTTCTCTCTTCCCTTGATGTATGCCCTAAACTTCCCAGTGCAATTGCTGTGTTCTTGACCTCAGCAAAAATATCAAAGTCAGGTCATTGTATGAAGAAGAATATCAGATTCATTTGGTGCTGGGATGAAGGTGTAAAATAAACTATAATCTGTTTCCTTCCTGACTTTCATCAGTGAATAAAAATGTACCGATACAAATTAATATTACAAACACATAATAGTTTTGGTTAATCATGTTTTTCTAGATGTTTCTTTTAGTAAACAGTCATTAACTATCAAATGTGTGATAAAGATAATACATTTATCTAGTAAACAGTTATGTAATAGAAACAACTGTTAAATTATTTTTCTTTTCAAAGGTTAATGGTTTCAGGGTCCATGAATTATTTATGAATATTTTCTTCAATAATGAGGTTGTCACAGTTGTATTTTCTTACATGTTTTTTTAAACGCCTATGCTTTTATTATTAGCAAAGTAAACTAGAAGCTTAAAATAACTAGAGTTTTGAGAAAATTTAGTGGCGATGTAATTTTTAATATGCAAATTAATAGAGTCACTTTAAGCATTAAATTTGACCAAATTTCCAAGCTATTTCAAAATCATTGTTAATGGACATGCATATATTTTATGTTGCTTTAATGTGTTGATTCTAATTAGTATTTTATTTTTTTCTGGTTAACATTATTTCCACTGTGTTTTTATGCATCAACCTAGTTTGCCTGCTGGCTTTTAGTAGTAGTAGGAGGAGTAATAGTAATGATTATGATGGCTAACAAAGATCAAGTGCCAGACACTATACGAACTACTTAATGTGTATTTTCTAATAATCATTGTATTTCATGTGTCGTCATATAATTAGACAGTTTGAATATTTGGGACCGTTTTTAATTTATCATAAATATAAAAAGCACTACTACATACATGTAAATGAAGGATAACTTTTGAATGCTGAAGACTATTTTTCTTAGATTTTTTTTACCTATAATAGAATGAATGGATATAAATAGTTTTATTATTAGTGTACTATCTCTCTAACATATGATACTTCCTTCAAGTTAACACTGTTTTAAAATTAGTGTTTATCATTTTCTGTGTTATTGTTGGCTAACTGCATACACATATAACCATTATATATATATGTGTGTGTGTGTGTGTGTGTGTGTGTGTGTGTGTGTGTGTGTTGTATATATATATATATAATAGTTTTGCAGGTTTTAAAATTTTATATAAAAAAAGAATATAGTACATCACCTTCTGCAACTTTGTTTTTCTGTTTAATATGCTCTATCCGTATTCACTTTCAGTAAGAATATACCACAGTTTATTTAGTCATTATTCTAGGTTTTCTAATACTTAGGTTGTCTCCAACATTTAGGCCATTTCCAATATTTTGCTATTAAAAACCATTTTTAAATGAATAATTTTCCCATGATACCTATGGAAGTAGGGTCATAAGTAGGCATAAGTAATCTCTTAGGATGTCGTACCAGTTTACATGCTCAACAACTGTGTATAATTGTTTCCATTTTTCTCATCCTCACCAATCTTTGGTAATATCAGAGTTTTTGTTCCTCCCAGTCTAATGAGTATGCGGTATATCTTGCTATTGCCTTAATTTGGATTTCTCTAATTTCTCATTGTCGAAGAGATATTTATTACTCATGACTATCCATCCACGTGTTTCTCCAGAATTTCCCAGCCCCATTGCAGTTGGGTGGGGCCAGCCTATTATTTCTGGCCTATAGGCTATGAGCAGAAGTAACAAGTGTCACTTCAGGGGCAGAGAATTGAAAAATTTGCGTGTGACTCTTCAGTCCTTTGTTGCAATACAGCAACTAGGCAGTGGAAGATAGGTCCTTTAGTACCTTTTGTGGAGCACAGCCCCCTGTCAATTTGCATTGCATCTGTGTCATGACTGAGAAATAAACCTCTGTTAAGCCACTGAGATTTCCAGGTTAATTTGTACCTTCACTATAATGTAGTCTATTCTAATTAATACACATGGGCAGCTTTTCATGTGATTATGTTTTCATATGTTTATTAAATTTAGGTCATATTTATGATCATTAATCTGTGTACTGTTTTATCATTGCCATTGGGTTACTATTGGGTCGTTGGTCTTTTTCTTAATGATTTGTAAGAGTTAATTAGCTTTTGTCAGTTATATATGTTCCAAATACTTTCTCCCAAATTTTTTAGTTTTCTTTTCAAATTGAATATAGGGACTTTTAATGTATAAAAGTTTTTAATATACTCAAATTCATCAGTTTTCAGTTTTCATGCTTTTTACATCTTATTTAAGAAATCCTCACCTAACTTGACATTATTAAAGTCTTTTTCATTGTTTTCCAAAAATTTTAAATTTTGCTTTGCATATGTATAGATCTTAATCTATTTGAAATTGGATTCTATGTAAAGCATCAAATAGAAATTTAAAACCATATATGAAAATCAGTCAGCTCAACATATTTATTTAATAGTTCATCTTTTCCCCACTTTCTGAATTGTCATTTCTATTATATATCAAAAATTT